GGCAGATGGCCCCGCCCCTCCCTGAGCCTGGTTCTGCTGGAGGTTTCTTCCTGTTAAAAGGGAGTTTTTCCTTCCCACTGTCACCAAAGTGCTTGCTCTTAGGGGGTCATATGATTGTTGGGTTTTTCTCTCTGTCTATTATTGTAGGGTCTACCTTACAATACAGGCACACAGGCAACTGTTGTTGTGATTTAGCGTTGTATAAATAAAACTGATTCGAATTGAATTACATCAGTGTAACCCATAATTTCACTACACATGTACGGTGACAATAAAGGTGTATTCTATTCTAAAAATGCTGCAAAATACATTAAGACGCCTGTTTGCCAAATATTACCATTCCCTTGATCAAGTGCTTACTTGTGGCACTGCTCCCGGACCCACAGCAACAGTGCTTTCTTGGCAGAGACTCTAAAACGATGATGTAGTGGTGAGCTTCTGGGAGGAACTGGACTGCTGCTAGTCGAGTGGCTTGAGAAGGTGTCAAGACTGGCCAAAGACTCCATAGAGGACTGACGGGAGTCAAAGGTGAGAGAGCTCGCCAGCTCTTCGATCTAAAATAACCAAACGCCAGTTTGAGTTTTACACGATAGATTTACATTTGGCATTTAGCATGAGGAAATAAAAACTCTCGTGAGCATTAAAGGTAAAGCACAAGATAAAAGAGAAAACATCTGAACAGAAGTCTGACGACCATCTCTATGTGCAATTTTTTAAAAAGGAAAAAAACTGGAATAAAAATCATCAAAACCAAAGTAATAAGCAATGCACAACAAAATGGACAACAACAAAAAAGGGGAAGAAAAACAATCTTACATGATACTGAAGAATGATAGTCCATATAAGGCCCAGGATGATGGATGGTTTTCCATCAATAATGTCAGGAATGTGTATGTTAACTAGCTTTATCTGGGGAGAAGGAAAACAGTTTAGAGTTTTTTCAAAGATATTAGAATCAAAATCTAAACATGAAAGTCTGATGGGAAAAAAAGTGTTTGTGTAATCTTTAATTTATTTTTCTTCAATACCAACAATACAGTTTTCTGAATAAAGTTGGTGCTAATATTTAGCCCCTTTAAAAGATTGTTTACCGATTTCTTCTTAAGAAAGGAGAGAGCCTTCTCGATGTTGCTCCTGTGCTGAAACATTCCCCTGCCTCTCTCCCGACTCTGAAAACCACAAAAAGGTGAATCACTCAGATCACAAAAGTTCTTAGCTGTTGGTTGGAAAGCATTAAACATTAAGGTAAAACTGGACTTACGATGTGCAAGCCACTCATCACCTCCAGCAGGTCCAGCAGTTTGGAGCCATCACGGAAATCATTGAACAGATCTACAACCATGCACGGTGGCCTCCTCTGTCACAAATAT